CATAACAGCATACAATGCAGTACAAAAGTTTGGTTTAAAGATTATTTTTTAAACAACAAATCTCTTCCATAAAATAAAAAAAGGAATATTTTGTGAAATAGTTACAATTTAAAATAACTGTTTTCTATTTTAATATTCTAAAACAATTTATTTCTGTGATGGCAAACCTCCACTTCAGTGTCACATGATCCTTTAGAAATCAGCCCTCTTGGGCTGCGTGCCAACATACAGCGTTGCACTACGGGCGTCCCGAGTTCGAATCCCGGCTCGAGTACGTTTCACGATCCTGCCCCCCTCTCCCTCTCCCACTTGGCTTCCTGTCTAAACTGTCCTATCATGAAGGCAAAAACGCCAAAGATAAATCTAATATTCTGACTTGGTGCTCAAGAAACATTACATATCAATTGTGTTGAACTATTAATTATTACTTAAAGCTGCAGTCCGTAACTTTTTTTGGTTAAAAAGTATCCGAAATCAATATTTGAGCAAGTACATAACCAGCCAGTGTTAAAAACTATCACTTTACTTTAGCCCAATTCACAACGGTTATCTTATAATAATGTTCTCTAATTTGAGTGGTACGGGTAGGTTTTCACAGGAAATTCGAGCATGCTGCTGCGTCATTACACCACGTCTGTAAACATAAAGAAGTTGTCCCGGCTAGGCTATCGCATGTGAGGATCCTGCAGGTGGAGGATCGTTTATAGCCTTTTCTCATAGCAGCTGGAATAATTACATTTATCATTTTGATGGCGGATGAGAATAAAGTATAACAATAATAATAATTTGAACGGTTTGATGTGATATGAGGTAACCGATCTTTAGATTTAATCACCATTGGTAGCGCGATTTATTGTAATGCTTTTTTCCTCAGTTGGTCAGAACAAACGTGGCAGACTTGTTACTTGCTTAATATCCTGTGAAAATTCTTATTTGGGTCATATATTCCAAGACGTAGGCTAGAATCTGTGATTCTGAAGTACAGTAAATATCCACACCGGTGCAGTGACTGACTGCCACACACACACTCCTCAAAACATTAGATTCATCCGCGCTGGAGTCGTGCCGGCGCACAACCCACGCAAGGAAGATAATTCCGTAAACAGCTGCAATTGCAGGTTTTCAAACCGAGATGGCGACAAAGAAGCAAAACGTACGGACTGCAGCTTTAAATAATTATTACTAATTATCAAGTGTTTAAAACATTTGTGCTTAATTTTGTTAAAACAGTGCTCAGGATTTTTTAGGATTCTTTGATAAATAAAAAGTTCAAAAGAACCGCATTTATTTGACAGAATTTCTGGGTAACAATTTAAGAGTCTGTGTCACTTTTAAAGGGATAGTTCATCCAAAAATGAAAATTGTCATTAATTACTCACCCTCATGTCGTTCCAAACCTGTAAGATCTTCGTTCATCTTCAGAACACAAAAATATATTTTTGATGAATTCCGAGAGCTCTCTGACCCTACCATAGACAGCAAGCATACTACCACGGTAAAGGTCCAGAAACGTAGCAAGGACATCGTTAAAATAATCCATGTGACATCAGGGGTTCAACCGTAATTTTACGAAGCTACGAGAATACTTTTTGTGCGCAAAGAAAACAAAAATTATGACTTTATTCAACAGTTCGTCTCCACGTCACCCTAGCGCCATTTTGGAGAGTATCACATATGTAAACAACGTATGCAACGTATGTACGCGGATACGCTGTTTACATTCAGATAAAAGCATAAACAACGTATCCGTGTACATACGTTGTTTACGTATGTGATACTCTCCAAAATGACACTATAGGGTGAGGCGGAGGAGACAAACTGTTGAATAAAGTCATTATTTTTGTTTTCTTTGTGCACACAAAGTATTCACGTAGCTTCATAAAATTACGGTTGAACCACTGATGTCACATGGATTATTTTAACGATCTCCTTGCTACGTTTCTGTGCATTGATCGTTTAAGGATCCTTGCTGTCTACGGGAGGGTCAGAGAGCTCTCAGAATTCATCAAAAATATCTTAATTTGTGTTCTGAAGATGAACTAAGGTCTTACAGGTTAGGAACGACATGAGGGTAAGTAATTAATGACAATTTTCATTTTTGGGTGAACTATACCTTTAATCAATGTAATGCCTTGTTGCTGAACCAAAGTTTCATCGTTCAAAAAAAAAAAAAAAAAGACCCCACATTTATGAGTATATTGAACCAAAGACAACAGCTCAACATGACACTGAAGCATTGACAATGACGGGACTGTAAAGACACCACAGTAAACATCAACCAATGAATTCTATTTGTTAATCTATTTATTACTTTTGGTATTCAGAGTAAGAAAAATAAAGTGGAATTCTTGTTGCACTGAGGTCCAAGTAAAACAGCAGAAAGGATAAAGAAATCTGTTAAAATACCCAGTAGGGCTGCAACAAACGATTATTTTGATAATCGATTAATCTAACGATTATTATAACGATTAATCGACTAATCATCGATTATTTCGCTGATTAATCAGTAGACATTTTTTGATTATTCATGTTTTGCAATTAGTTAAAATATTGAGTTATACATATTCTAACAAATAAATTAAGGTAATCACTGCAGCTTTTGAAAGTCATATTTAATTACAATTAAACCATTCATTTATACAAATAAATATTTTGGCACACAAAATGAGATGGCAGAGAAACTCTTATTCACCATTTAATTAGCTATATGAGAAAGTAGCTGAATGACACATCATTATGCCTAAAATCTCTTTTTGTAAGTCATATGGATAAGAAACAAAATCAAGGTTAAGTGATATGACGTTTTATTTTTGGATAAACTATTTTATTCACAACAATCTCTCTTAAAATACCTTATAGGGTTATGAGAACCAAAACAGTCCTGAGCTAGATCAAGCTTTGATCTCTGCAAACCAAACTATCACTTTTAATTAAACGTTTTTTTCCCCACTAATAAAAATATTTTATAATTTGCTAGCTCCACACTGGAGAGCTGCGTTATAATAGAAAATCTTGTTGTAAGTTCTAATTCTAACTGAAAGCGACACTGACTCTGGTTTTTCATGTTTAATACTGTAAAGCTGCTTGATTTAAGGCTATCTATTGCATAAAGTACTAAATAAATAAAGGTGACTTGACTGGACTTTACTGGAGTGCCGAACTGCAGAGCTCGTGCAAACATCCATATCGCTGTAATCAGATGCGTTTTAAAATCTCACATTTTTGCTCACTCAGTGCATTTTTGATTTTACAGTGGGGTAATTTTGTTGCAGTAGCACGAGATAGCTTGATTTCAAACTTTGAATTGAATAAAAATTGACAAGTAAGCAGTTTCAGGTAGGTCTAACACTTGGGCTATTAATACATATGAAAATGATATAACCAATTTGTTTCACATTCTTTCTTGGAAAAAAAAGAATCACTACAACTTCAGAAAATGACCAGCAGTGTTTTAGCAGTACATAAAAAGTAATGTCACAAATCAGAAAATGTAATTTTAACATCAAACATAACACTGCATTGTGTTCACTGTATGAATTAAATTTAGATTAATCTTTGTTATAGCTGTTTTGTTGTTTGATTAACATTAGTGACATATTCAGCAGCACGTATTTATAGGCTGCTGTCCCTTTAAATCCGACTGCACGGATCCAGTATGATACACATCCAATTTCTTTCTCCGCTGTTTACATTCATTTAAAACATAACTGACTGCATTTACGAGAATTATCGTCGAGACGGGTACTATTGACAATTCTGTGTGTATTTGTGTTCACACATAAGGAGGAGATGCGAAAGACGAATCAACTCGGTGTTCGCGCGCCGTCTGAAACGCGTATCTGTGTGTGTGTGCGTGCTTTGCCCGTGTGCGGCAGAACTGAAGAGACGCTGTGCGAGATGCGGCTTGTGCGCGCGCGCTTTAGGTGTGAGTCAGACAGCAAGACGAGACGGCAAAGAGTTGTTTTCTGCAACTTATTGCACTTAACTCTTTTTAACGTCAAGCAATTCTCTGCTATATGCGTCGAACTAAAACTTTGACCTTTTGCAACATTTTGGTTTAAGTAGCCTATTATTAAAATGATAATGATA